ATCACTGATGGAATCCAGAGAACATACTCAAGGAGAAACTGAAGCAGATACCATGGAAGAACGCAACTTACTGGATTTCTTGCTTCACTGGTTTGTGCACAACTGGCTTCTTTATACAGCACTGATCACTTGCCTAGAGATGGTGCGGCTTGTAGTGGGCGGGGCCTCCCACATCAATCATTAGTCAAGACAGTCTCTCACAGACATGACTGCAGGCCTGTCTGACCAAGGCAATGCCTCAGCTGAGGTGCCTTCCCCCTCGGTGATTCTACCTCAGCTGAGGTGCCTTCCTCCTCGGTGATTCTCTGGTCTGCCACCTTACGGTAGCGCCCAAGCAGCACCAGTACCTGTCTGCATTCCTGTTATGCCTCTGAATGAGGTGAATTGCACTGGACCTAGTTACGGATCAGGCGTGCCACTGTGTCATTGTTCTGCTCAGAGTATAACTCCTTGACTGTCCTGTGGTGGCTGTAGCCCAGTGTCATCTAAGCAGCCAGTGACACTAGCTGGGTTTTCATCTGGAATCCAGCAATGTTGAGAGCCTACCGGGCGTTTAAGAAGAAAACTGCGGATGTACAAAAGAATGGAAGAATGGATGAATCCATCCCCAGCGGCTATCTGGACTTTGAAGAAATGTAGCCACTTAGGAATTACAAGTTCCATGTCTAGCCAGAGGATACCAAGAAGGTAAACCTTAGGAGGCTGGCCTGTGGGTTAGGCCAGTTCTTGGGGTGTCTTGTATGGTAGAGCCTGCACTGTGATAGGGTCGTTCTGGAGAGGGGCAGGATGACAAGTATCGCTAGCTTCCCAGGAGGAAGGCTCAGGGGCTGAGGCCACGCTGGGCCTAGAAAGCTCTCTTCCCTAACCTCTCGACCACAACAATAAGTCCTCACCAGGACTTATCAAATAGTACATATGTTGAGAACTGAATTGTCTATCCCCAAATCCATTCACTGAAATATTAACTCCCAGCTTCTCAGAAAGTAACTGTTTAAAAGATGAGCCCTTTGAGGAGGAAGCCCCGTTAAGCTTAAGCTCTTAGCGTGGGATGGGCCCTGCTCCAACATGAGATAGCTGCATATGAGGAACCACAGGAGGACGCATGGAGAAGGCAGGCCACCCACCCCATATTTGCTGGACCCCCAGACATCCACCCTGTGACCTGTATGAATGAAAATAGAGAGAGGTTAACCTTCTCTCTATATTAAGTTTTACCATAGACACCTCCAAGCCAGGCCACAGAGTCTGGTTCTCAAGAGGAGCCTACATTAGGACCAGCACCGTGTCAGAAGCCCCCTGGTGGGTCTTGGACACTTGCTGGGTCATTAACTGGAGGCATGGCTGTCACCAGAATTTTTTAAAGAGCAAACTTAACAGGAGAAGGGGAGGGGGTAGGGAATCAATGTCCACCATTCTGAGCACACAGGGCCTCCCAAGGAGTCAGTGGCCTGAAACTCCATGGACTGTAACAATGGCAATGCCCTCCCCTAGTGGGCAGCTGATGGGGACAGCCTTAACACCCAGGACTGCAGAGCACAGGACATCCCAGGCAGAAGGCTGCTTTTTAGCCCGTGGGTCTAGTTTCTTCCCCACCCTCAAACGTTTTCGTGATTGTGGCTCCCCATATTGTTTCTTGAGCGCATTCCCTAAACTACTCAGGGCAGATTGGTTTACAAAAACAAAAACAAAAAACATACATACATACATACATACATACATTTGTGTGTGTATGTCAAGTTAGCAAAGGACAGAGGTTTATGACTGGGAAGAAGCATCAGAAATGGGGACTTTCCCATTTCTGACAGTAGGCATGACGCTTGGAGGAACTGACACCCTGTCCAGGAGACTGCATCCTGACTCAGGAGCCCACTTCCCATCCCTGCTAACCAGTGGCCTTGGTTCCCCTAGGGGACTACAGCATCCCTTCAGCTGGGTGGCAGGACCTAGGTTCCCAAGCAGCGTCTCAGCTAGGGCCTTGCCAATACCACAGCATGGCACACTTGACTTTGCCCCCACTGCCTACATGTCTTCCTCGGCAGGAGAGGATGCCGGCCATGACATTCCTAGGCTGTGTTTCCCTCCGAGAACACCTTGCCTGGTGCACAGAGAGAAGACACCAGGAACCTTCACTTTCCCAGGACCACCAGAGCTTGGAGTGTCTGAGAGAAGGAGCTCCATGTAACAGAGAAGTGCTAACCAGGCTTTATCTGCAGGCACCTGAAGCTCTGCTGCAGTGGGCGGGGTGCTCAAGCCTGAGAGACACGGCCCTGAGGGCGTCTCTTCTGTTTTGTGGCCTGTCAGAGACAAAATGACAAGACTGTCAACATCTGGCTGAGTGGCTAAAGTTGTAAGGAGGGCAGGAGAGATGCATGGAGTCACCCCAGTACCTCAGTGTGGGAGGGGAATTCCTCAGGGGACAGAGGGGCCTGGAGTTCCTTGGGCCAGTCCCTGGTTGTGGCTCCAGATTGGTGGGTGGATGATGAATGGGGGAATTCTACCTGCAGGGCCTACCCTAGCTCCAGAGAACAGCTCAGGACACTGAAGCAGAGGAGCTTTCTCTTGGAGTCTCAAGAGCAACAAAAAGCCCAAGTTTAATTGGGAAAGAGCTCTTACATATGAAAATACTCATGGAAACGTAGTTTTAAAGCTCTGTGGCTTTCAAATCATCAGAACAGTGGCCTAAAAAAAAGGCTTCGCTCTGTCTCAGGAAGGAGCAAATTCAAAGCACACTGTGTTTGCTTTACTGTGCCAGACACAGGAAGGAGGCAGAGACAGGCTTTTGAAGCGGGGGTTTCAGATCAGTGGCTGTGAGAGGTGGGATGCCTCAGGCTGTGAGAGCCTGGCACTGTGCGAGCACTTGTCTTTCCACTTTCAATTTTGGTGAGAGTAGATTTTAATCAAGCAGACTTGGCCGCAGCTGGTTCCTCACAGCGAGTAAACCTGCCAGGGTCCAACATTCCAGGCACAACCACAGGACCATCGATGGCATAATGTAACCGTGTCACCGTAATGAGTCACCTCCACACCGTTAGTCATTTACATATCCATAAAATAGCAGTGGAGAAGCTAGGTAATCTGTTTCAGGGGAAGTCCTAGCATGGAAAGTCTCACTCCCTTGGGGGGGACAATCTCAGAAAGTTGTGTGTGATTTACCCTCTTGGCTGACGTGGAGATTGAATCTCACCTGGAGTCAGCCTGACTGTTGTTATTAAAGAAATGCTATTTGGGCCGCAGGAAAGGGGCAGCAGACCTGTGAAAAGTGCCTCTATGTGTGGGCCACACCGTTGTCCTTTGTCCACAGCTGTAGGACACATTGTTTTTCGTTGGACACAAGATGGATGGAAAAGAATTTGAGCAGTTTTTCTTCCTCTATGAATTAGGTGGCGGAGGGGTGGGAGTAGGGGTGCAGAAAGCTGTGGCATGTTGGCGTATGTGGCAGTTTGGCTGAGAATGTCCTACTAAGGTACAGGCATCTGCATACTTGGTCCCCCGCTGGCAATGCTGTTTGGATAGGGTTAGGAGGTGAGGCCTTGATGGAGAAGGTATGTCCCTGGAGAAGGGCTCTGAGAGTTTAAAGGCTCCACACCATTTCCAGCTCATTCTCTGCTTCATGTTTGTGGTTCAAGGTGTGAGCTCTCAGCATGCAGCTCCTGCCTACATGCCTGCGGCTTGCAGCCAAACTTCTCCACCCTGGTGGACTCTACTCACTCTGGAACCATAGGCCAAATAAACCCTTCCTTCTACGAGTTGCCTTGGTCATGATGTTTCATCACAACAATAAAAAAGTGACTAAGAGTATATTTCTTCATAATCAGAAATGACTTCAGTGATGAGGACAGTCAACCATTTGGAGCACAATTAGACTTTGTGGTCACGGAGCATCCGTGTGTACATGTTGAAGGGAGACACTCAGAAAGCAGCAGTAACACCACTGGTCAGAACCCAGCAGGAAGGACCGTGGAGGGGAACCCCACCAGGGAGAGAAAGTTGGTGTGTACAACTCTCATCTGGAAAGAGGGGATGGTTTCTAATTTCTTTTCCTGCCTTGCTTATCTGTGCTTTCCAAACGTTCTGTGACAAACTGAACAAGGCGTGGTGAAGGAAAAGAACTGAAAACTAACTGCCCACCAGCCTGTGGCTGGGCTGCAACTAGTGTGTCACCTACAGTGTGAGGTTCTGAAGGGGGCAGTCCAGATTCTGGGGAAAACCTGGCTCATATAAGTGCGGAATATGCAGCAGAGGAGGGAGCCTTACCCTCCCAGCTGGGCATCTGCCTGTGCACTGTGGGGAGGGAGGCCCAGAGAGGACAGCAGGACCGAGCAAGACCCTGGGCAGGAACTGGTTGCTGATTCCAAGGGGAAAAGACCTTGGACCTACCCGCATTTCGAACAGCTGAACTCAGAAGGCGGATGTCTGAGTTTGGAAACAGCCCTACTACTGCCCACCCTTTCACCATAGCCGAGACTCAGGTCCAGCTTCTCAACCCAAAGTCAGGACCTTCCTTTACAGCACAGGCAGGTGCTGTAAACTCTCATAGGGAATGAGGGCTTGTTACTGATAACGAGCAGGTCCAAATATTCATGACTTCAACATACAAGTAAAGTAGATAGTGAAATTTGGGAATACTACTGACAAATAAGGAATGTTGAATGACAAAGGCAATTTTTTTTTCCAAGAGAGCAAAGAGACCCCGATGGCTCTGTTGTCTTGAGACTATCTGAGCCTAGGATGAGTCCAGTGGACCTCAGGTGGAGCCTTTTTCTCTTTCCCATCCCCCTCTTTTTCCCTCCAACCTTCTGTACCGATCCATCCCTCTCCTCCTACATTTTCTTCCCAGGCCACTGACAGGCAAAGCTGAATAAATGAAGATGATATCTAATAACAACAGCAAGGGTCTACTTCCATCCAGACATTCAGGAACTGTTTTTGTTAAAACTCTGCTTTGTCTTTGTCTGAGCTAAAGCCTCGGGGTGGGAGGGTTGGCCTCAGCCAAACCTTACCTTGCTGGCCTTCTCGGCAGTTAACTCTCGCTTTCCAGAGTGGTTTCCCATAGTGAATTGATGGGATGTTCAAGAGCTGAAAGAGAAGAGAAGGTATCAGCTGGAAAGTTAACTCTTCTGGAGGTCTTTGACCAGAGCAAAATCCCTGAGACACATACACAGTTGTCAACCAATACTGTTCTTGGGATCTCATGGAAAGATTTAGAACAGAGCAGCACCAACTGTCCAACTCTGCTCAGTGAACAAGAACTTCTGATGTCTGCCTGTTCAAGAAGACGTACTGACCATTCCGACACAAATGCACATACCAGGAGCTCCAACACTTACTTGTGTGTCATGTGGAGTGTGTGAGGAGGGTGGGTGAGAAGATGAGCTGAGATGTCAGAAAATGTTCTGCATAATTTTTAAAATAAAGATGACAGATGTCCATGCCTCCTGCTGGAGAGTCTGACCATCCTGCACAGCCAAGGCCAGAGCAAGCCGGCTTCTTGTACAAGTATCCAAAGAATGTGCAGAACCACAGGGAAGATAAAGCTGGATAAAGACAAGCATGTCCTCCTCACTCATTTTCTGGCCCCAGCCTTAGTGGCACACATACACTCAATTTTATTTTAAAAGCTGCACAGAATTGAAAAGAATTGGGCCAAACTCATGCCAACAATGCAATTTCTAGCCATGGGCAATCAATCCCTCACCAGAGTGACACTTGTCTGGTCTGTGACCTGATCCTTCCAGAAAAATCAGTTAAGGGTCATTTAAAGATATGAGCACTCAAGTACTCACTTCCCTCTCAAACCCAGAAAGCTGACACAAGGAGCCAAAGTAACTTTGATTTTCAAAGTATCGATGGAGCATTATACAGCACAGCTGAGTAAAAGTCACATTTTGCTCTCTAAAACTCACTCTTTTTTATGGAAATGACATTCCATCTGTCCACACCTGGGTCACTTTGGTAACAAAAGAAGACTAAGCTGTGGGTTCGTGTACTTGTAATCTCGAACTTGGGATGTGGAGGTAGGAGCACCAGCAGTTCAAGACCATCAGCTATATAGCTGTTTCAAAGCCAGACGGAGTTAACAGGCCATATGAATTCCTTTCTCAGAAGTACAAAACAAAAGAGAAAACCCTGAACCCCCAAAAGCAAAAACAAAAAAAGGAGGAGAAAGAGGAAAGAGAGAGGAAGGAAAAATGCGGAAGAGGAAGAAGAAAGGATGGGGAAAAGAAGAAGAAAGGAAAGAGGAAAAGAGGAGAGTTAGATAAAACATGACCAAGAAGCAAGTTTGGGAGGAAATGGTTTATTCAGCCTACATTTCCAGCTCCTAGACCATCACTAGAAGTCAGGACAGGAACTCAAGCAGGGCAGGAACCAGGAGGCAGAAGCTGATGCAGAAGCCATGAAGGGGTGCTGCTTACTGGACTGCTCCCCATGGCTTGCTCCGCCTGCTTTCTTACAGAACCCAGGACCACCAGCCCAGGGATGGCAGCACCCACCATGAACTCATGAACTGGTCCCTCCCCCATTGATCACTAATTAAGAAAATGCCTTTACAGCTGGATCTCAAGGAGGCATTTCCTTGATGGAGGCACCTTTGTCTCTAATGACTCTAGCTTGTGTTAAGTTGACACATGAAACCAGTCAGTACAGGGCCAATTCCCAAACTCTGCAGCTTTCGCTGGGTTTAACAGTGCAGCACCCCAGTCCTTCCATCCTTAAACAACACAGCACAAGCATCCTGATGTGGGCTGACTGGCTCCCTCACAGTGTCTTACAGGATGGTAACTAAAAAACGGCTGTCCTCTGTGTCCGCTCCTCCACCTACATAACCAAGCTCTGTGGGCCTCTCAGGATACTCACTCTAGCTTATTGAACAAAGCATTGCTCAACTCAACAACTGAAAACAGCACCAAGAACTTATTCTGCAATTCTGCCCATGGGGCGGCAGTGACCTCTAGACACAGCACCCACAGGGGTGGTAGAACACACTGTGCAAAAGAAAGCCACTCCTGCTTCTGGAAAGGGTGTAGACAGATGTTAGCAGCCCCAGCCAGGTCTGAGTGGGCTCCTAAAGGGCTCACTGGAGGCTACTGCAGTGGAGATAGCTACCATACTCTGTCTGGCAAATGAAAGACCAGGTCCTGACAATAATTACCAAGTAACAATCAGGAGACTTTCATATTTGGTGTGTGTGGCCTTTAAAATGCAAGGCTGCTCAGGCAGGTGATTTCAGCATTTATGGCTGGTCTATCAGTATTCTTGATTTAAACTGATAAAATTTTTCTGAAACAACCCTCTCATTGGGGATTGTGGGTCTGAGGGCTTGGGGACTTAAAATGGATGGAGATGGAAAGAGTGCATTTTCTGGGATCTCACCCAAGCATGACGGTGTTTGTGCATAGTCAACCTTGAGTCTAGGAATATATCCTGCCATTCTGAATTTTGACCACTAATTCTATGCAACTTTTAAAAGTCCGGCTGTGATGCTTTCTTTTCCCAAAAGCAAGCCCCCAAGATTTGTCACACATTGGTATTGTGTGGCCACCTATGCATTCCTGATAAAAGAGAACTGCTTTGGCACAGGCCCTGCAAACTTAGCTGTTGTCCCTCCAAGCCAATGCTTCATCATACTTTGTATCAAGATTCCAGCTGATACCCAGGGTGATAATTTCCATCGATATTTCAAAACTCCAAGGCTGCCAGGCACAAACGCCACTGAAATAACAAACCCACAGACAAGACTTTTAAATAAACTTAGTTATAGCTAGGAGAGTGGTGGTGTGCTGGGGAGGCTGAGGCAGACTTCTGAGAACCTGAGGCCAGCCTAGGCTACACAGGAGGTTCCAGGATAGCCAGGGCTACACTGTAGAAGACTGTCTTTGGAACAACATCAACAATAACAAATAAAAGGGATTAGATTTGGCTAGCCTTCCATGTATTACATATGCAGTGGTAGAAGACAAGAGAGACAAAGTAAGCACAGGTGCATGAGGGCCTCGAGGACTGTGACCTTGCCTAGAGTGTGGTAACAAGGAAGCTTACAGGTTGACAGCTAGCCTTGTTAAGTCCCATGACTGCCTTTAGGCCCTGCTTAGGCTGCAGCAGGCTCCTTCCTGGGACTAGGAACTTGAACCAACAGCTGCTGCCAGTGTACTTCTGGCAAGAGCCAACTGTGTCTGCAGTCAGCCTTATTTTTGGGTTCGGTTTTACAGTGAATATAATTATTGGAGAAACAGAAAAAAATGGTGAAATCACAGACTCCGCAGGAAGCCTGGTAGACGTGCAGGCTACACTTGGATATCTAATGTTCTGTGTAGAGAATGAGGGTGACATCCAGATGCCATGGGGTCGGTGACATTCTACACTGGTTAGCTTTTCAGCATGCGTGACTTTGGGAAGTCTTGGGGAGTGCCTGCACTTAATTGTCTCCTATGCCAAGTGGAGCCTGAAACAAACCCTCAGGGACAGTCAGTCATCCTGATGTGGTAGGAGGCAACCTAGCCTTAACTGTGGTTTCTCTTTCTAATTATGTGCTCCCGAACATATATCTGAATTCACTGTGGAGGAGCCAGCAGGAGGGGAGTCGCTGGCCATCTGTAGGCGGCATCAGTGACTCAGGTACCTGGCTCCTCAGTAATTGCCCACATGTATTTTGCAAGGGGTTTGAACTTTCTGAAGGGCAAACAGGACAAGTGAGACCCCTTCTTGATTCAGGTGGCTGACCTTGGGTAAAGCTCCACTCAGTTGAGCCCCTGTTTCTTATATAGTTGAAGTGATCCAAGCTCTCTTCCTGTCCTGGGGTGACAGGAAACCTGGGAGCTGTAGGGCTGGTCAGGCTGGGGTTGGGGTAAGGACCTACAAGGGGTAGATTGTTCCCATCTGTCTCCAGTGCTCAAGTCTAGCCTCCTGGGTAGAATGGTGACCTGCTGAAGGACACTATCTCCTTCCCACATTTAGCATACTGCTGAGGCCAAGACATGATTTTCTGGCTACAAGTGCCTCCATTCAAACTGGCAAGGCCAAGGGAAGGTCAAAAGGCAGCAATGTTGGTGCACTGAGAAGCCATGACATTATCTGACACCATTAGCCCAGAGGCAAACGCCTCTGCCTCAGTGAAGGAGAGAGCAGGGGGAAGACCCACTGAGCGCCATGGGTGGAGAGTCGAGGCAAGAGAGATGGGAAGAACAACCTCCTAACTTTCAAGGGACCTTTGGGTATGATACAAGTGTGACTAGGGCTCAAAATAACTCTGGGTGCAATAGATAAACCAGCCTGCCTCCATCTTGGGCTTGAAAGCTATAGTAAAGACAAACTAGGTTCATTCCTGTTTATGATTAAATCTTTGTTTCCCAAGGATTGGGCTGTGCCCCACCATTAACTTTAACTACAAATGTTCTATATTGTCTCTTCCAGGAAACAGATATGTCCTTGCTTCAAAAGGTTATTATGATCACCCTATTATGACCACCTGTTGTTATGACCACCTTGTTAATATGACCACCTTGCTGTGCTTCAGCATCCCCACCTATTTGCCTGCTAAATCGCCCATCTGGAAACCTCCTTACTCTTAAACTATAAAAGCCTTGGTCTTACTCATTTCCAATGTTAATCTCTTGAACGCTGCCTTTAGGGAGAGACACCTCATGTATATGAAAAAAAAATCTTACTTTAATTAATTTGGGCATGATTTGGGTTGGTGGTCTTTCTCCCCAAATCTGTGGGATTAACATAATCATATTGGCACAGGGGACCCTGTGCAAACCTCACTGAGACCGACTTACGGAGATGAACACATTGGGAGCAGTTCTAGACAGATGGCTAGCATACTAGCTACCCACACTTCCTCCCCAAAGCTGCTCCAGTGGAAGGAGTGAGCATTGCTGCTGACCAGATATCAAATATACAATGGCTGGGAGCGCTTCATGTGTACTGCATGGAGTCCCTTGCTTGTCAGGACTTGTGGCTAAGGGTTTGTACAGTGTAATTGTACATGCTGCAGGAGACAGGTATGCTATACGTCACTGACATAAATAGCAGCTGTACTATTTCACAGATTTCAAGGGTTTTGGCTTATTTTTTTT